TTGGAAACCCAAGGAGGGGTCACTATGAGTTGGGTCTGACTCGACGGCACATAACAACAACAACAACAACATTTTATCATAGAGGAGAACTAGTGGTATAGTGGTTAATTGCTTAGCTGCTAATCCAAAGGTCCATGGTTCCAACCCATCAGCGGCTCCACAGAAGAAAGATGGGGCAGTCTGCTTCCATAAAGATTTACAGCCTTGGAACATCTATGGAGGCAGCTCTATTCTGTCCTATAGGGTTGCTAGGAATCAGAATCGAATGGACAACAATGGGGTTTTGGTTTTAGATTCCATCAAAACTATGAATACCAGATGTACTTAAGAAGGGGAAATCTTCACTTTGTCATCTGTCCCACCTTAGAGAAGATGGAATCACTTGTGTTACCTTCCTTTTACTGCCACAGGCTGAATTCACTGTTCCCTCATCTATATTCCTAGAATACTTCTGTGAATATTTCATTTATATTGTTTTATAGTATATATCAAGTTTTTGTCTTGAGTTCCTTGAGGGCTGGAGCAGCATTTATTTATCTTTATCCCCAGGTTCTCTCACAATGTCTCTTTCCAGAACTGGACTAGATAAAGGGCTTGGATATTATGTCAGCAGCCATGTAGCAATCATCAATGGGATGTGAACCATGTCTGGAGATTTAACTAGATTAAACAAAAATAGTATTTAACAGAACTTTTCTCAGGGAAGGAACTGAATGTGATTGGAAGGCAAGGTAATGAGTCTGACTACTATTTTTCTTTTGATCATTTGAGATCCTGAGAACTGGCAAAGGGGGAAAACTAAAAACCAGTTGTTGTGGAGTTGATTCTGACTCATAGCAACCCCATGTGTAGAACTGCGCTCCTGAGGGTTTTCAGTGGTTAATTTTTAGAAGTAGATCACCATGTCTTTCTTCTGAGGGACCAGGGGGTGGACTTGAACCTCCAACCTTTTGGTTAGCAGTCTAGAGGGTCTATTTTCTTACCTTTTTTTTTATATAGTGCTTTGGTTCTCCTCTTAAAAATGTTGTGAACAAATATTTACAGAACAGTCTGAAGAGGCATTAAATCTTTAGTGTATTTAGAGTAGCAGAGTTCCTAGAAGGTCACTGCAAGTACTATGCAATCAACTGCTAACCTAAGGATGGCATGGTGGTTCAAACCACCCAGCAGCTCTGTGGAAAAAAGAGCTGGTGATCTGTTCCCGTACAGATTACAGCCAAGAAAATCCTATGGGAACAGTTCTACCCTGATACCCATAGGGTTACCATGAGTCGGAATCGAGTCAGTGGCAACAGGTTTGGTTTTTTGTTTGTTTGGAAGGTGCCTACATGTCTATCTTGCTCCTTTCTGCACCATAAATATTTACTAAATTACTATTGAGTGAATGAATGATAACAGAACAAGTTGAACCACTCAGTTGGTAACCAAGCATAGCCAAGAGGAGGCCTGGCTCTCCGAGAGCTCTGTGAACATAATCAATGTGCATACAAGTTGGGATTAGAAGGGTGGCAAAGCAAGTAGTACCAACAGAGCCTTGGGCAATCAGCATTTCCATCACCCCATGCCAGGTGCAGAAATTCAGAGGAAGAGGCTAAAAACATTCGTCCTTCAGTAAGAAGGGAGAAATATTCCTATTTGCCAACTTACCCACCAAACATGACATCTCACAAATCTGAATGGAGAACTGCTGTCAATTTCAGCATGACTGGCTGCATTATGATGATCGTAAGTCATTTTGAATCAGCGACGAACCACTAGATAAAGGCCACAGCATTCCAAAATGACCTTAAATCTTATCAAATTATGATTTCACAATTATTCTTCAGCACAAGTTAGCCTTAATATAATGCAACAAGTTACTTCTAGGACCAGTAAAGAATCAAGTTATCACCCAAATAAGGATGTTCGTATCATGCTGTTCCATGTCTATTTGTTGTTCTGTCCACTCTCCACCAAGACCATGGGCTCCGGGAGGGCAAGGACTGCCACATATTAGGTGCTTCATGATAAATATTGTAATTCTACAACCTTGTGATCTAAAGTTATGCTGGCAATATGGCTTATCCTTGGATAACTTTTATATCATAAAACTAATAATTTCTGATAGTGACTGCTATAAGG